CTCTGGATTCTGGCAATTGAAGTTGGATGAACACAGTTCAAAATTGTGTACATTCAACTTGCCATATGCCAGATACAGATTTCTGAGATTACCATGTGGAATTGCATCTGCCCCAGAAATATATCACAAAACTATTCACATGCTATACGAGCACATTGAAGGTGTAGACACATCCATGGATGATATCACATGGGAAACTACTAAGGAAGAACATGATTCTCGTCTCAGAAAAGTTCAGGAAGCTACTTGACAAGCCAACTTGAAGCTAAACAAAAACAAATGCCAATTAGGAGTAAAAGAGCTGAAGTTCGTTGGAGACATCATCAGCGATGAAGGGGTAAGACCTGATCCCATGAAGATATCAGCAATAGAAAACGTTGAAGAAACATAAAAGATATGCAGTGGTTTCTAGGTATGGTAAACTACATGGGAAAGTTTATAACCAACCTGCCAGAGAAAATAGCACCTCTGAGATGGTTACTAGAAAAGAAGAATGCATGGAACTGGAAACATGAGCAAGAAACAGCATGGCAACACTTAAAGGAAGTGCTTAGGCATGAGCTGGTGTTAAGGTTTTATGATCCTGCTAAATCCATTGAGATATCATCTGATGCATCACTAAATGGAATAGGAGCAGTTCTACTATAAGACTATGATAGCACCTGGCAACTAGTAGCATATGCTTCCAGTTCCATGTCTGGTGCTGAAACTAGATATGATCAGATAGAGAAATAGCTTCTTAGTATCATGTTTGCAAGCAACAGATTTTATCAATGTATTTTAGGACAAATAGTTAATGTGGAAATTGATCACAAACCATTGTTAGCGTTGTTCACTCAAGTCTCTCAACGACTGTCCTCCAAGGATTCAAAGAACAACGATCAAATTGCAACATTATACCCTAAAGGTGACATACACACCAGGAAAAAAGATGTATATGGCTGATGCATTGTCTAGAGCAGTGGATGAAACAGCTGGTCAAAATGACAAAGTAGCTGTAGAAATTCAAGCTTACGTGGATATGGTCACCTCAGCTATACCTACTACAGGTGCAAAGATGCAGATGATCTGTCAAGAAACAGAGAAAGATTCTACTTTGGATAGAGTTAAACGTGCTATTTAAATCGGATTGCCTGATGTCAAAGAGAGTTGCATAGTTGGAGTCCAAGAATACTGGAACTGCAGAGCTGAACTGTAGATGGAATCATCTTTAAAGGCAGCAAAATTGTGATTCCTCACAGTTTCCACAAGCTCATGCTGGAGAAAATCCATGAAGGTCATTTAGGCATTGAAAAATGCAGGGAAAGGGCAAGAGACTTAATGTTCTGGCCACGAATGAACCAAGACATTTCTGATAAAGTGTCCTCCTGTGACACATGCTTAAAGTACCACGTGTGTAATGCAAAAGAACCACTGATGTCACATCCAGTTTCAGAAAGGCCATATGAAAAGGTATTGACTTGTTTACATGTAACAACCAGATTTTGTTATTATCACTGATTACCATTCCTTGTATCCAGAAGTATGTGGATTGAGATCAACATCACCTGAGAATGAGATTTGATGCATAAAGTCAGTCTTTGCTAGACATGGAATACCTCAAGAAGTGTTTACTGACAATTGCCCACAATTTGCCAATGCCCAATTCACACAGTTTGCCAAAGAATGGGAATTTGTACATACTACATCAAGCCCATATTTTCCACAGTCCACTGGACTGATTGAAAAATCTGTTGGAATTGTCAAAAAACTAATGCAAAAAGCTTAAGAGAGCAAGAGTGAATTTTATATAAAGCAATGCTAGCATATCGTAGTACGCCACTTGCATGTGGTTACTCGCCTGCACAACTTCTTATGGGAAAATGCCTGCATACTAATCTACCTATGAAGGATGACCTCCTTGCAACAAGGAAAGGTGCACAGGTAAAGCAGTTTAAAGAGAAACAGAAGGAGAAACAGTCTATTTCGACTCAAGAGTTAAATCTTTACCTGAATTGCATAAGGGAGAAAATGTGAGGCTTAAGGACAATACATGGTTACAGAAAGGTTCCATAGAGGAACGAGTGCAAAAAGGATCTTACACGATACAGACAGAGGAGGGAAGGATTCTTAGAAGGAATAAGAAGAGACATTCTAAAAGAACAAGAGCAGAAATGTTCCAACACTCAATCAGATGAAGTACCAAATTGCAACATGGAGACTGAATCAGAGACTGATCAGGTTGTTAGACAGTCTACGCGTCAAAGGAAAAGTCCTGAAAGACCGATAAAGTCATATTAATATATCCAACAAGTTAGACAGTAAGCATAAGTACTTGCTAGGTAGATAAATATGTTTGGTTATAGCATGTTTTTTTCTTTAGCATGTTATGCTAAAGAGAGGAAGGTGTAGTGTTGCTTTAAGAGGGAGGGGGATTCCCTGAGTAGGAGGGCTTAGAAGAGCACCGGATGAAGCGAGATCAGCAGTGACTCTGCGAGTTATGTTTGTTACTTATGGAAGTAAAGCTGTTCATATATGAAGTGAGTGTCAGCATTGATTATTCTGCAACACAACAAGCTTCAGTTTGTTAAATTGTCTCCTTAAAGTGTGATGGTTGTCACCATTGTCTGCACTAGGTGTAGGTTTAGGTTTTTGTTTAGTTTTAATACTTTTATTTTTATATTGTTTAGAAGAAAATGCTTTGATTTGGTTAAAGTGAATTTCTTGTTATGCACTATTTTAAATAACCAAGATAATTTTTTCCAACATTCGAGAAGAGTTTCAGAATATTCAAAAATCAACCTCAGCATGTATTTATTATTTGATCAGGTTTTGCTCGGTCCCTCAATCACCAATCACAGTGATCTTTAGAGAGATGTCGGGGATTAGAGAGTCATCTACAGATACACAGTTGTGGGTGCAACTTTTCCAAGGACGCTGCAAACCCCTTGAAACAAGACTGGGAGAAACTGTATAGAAATCTAAGATGGATTGTAGGATAGCAGTGACCCAATGGAACTTTAAAGTATTGTCTCTTCGGCTTTTACCACTGATCCAGGACTGTTTTGAAAGAGGGTTGCCTAGGTTGATTTATCCAGGAATGAGAAATTAGTTTCGGTTTTCAGATATTCTGACACCCTGTATGTGAAGGACACAGCAGAAGGCAAATGTAATTAACTCTGGACTGATCAGATTAACAGACTGATAAGGTGATGCTAGGGAGAGGACTTTGTGAAATTCTATTTGCTTGCACGAACCATCCCTTGCAAGGTAAATCCACATCTGAGAGGTATTAATACATGTGGTGTGTGTGCTCAATAAGGCAGTTCTGGTTTAGTCCTAAATTAAATCTCGACTAATGTCTGGGGGAAAGACATCCCTGCAAAGAAGGCAATTGTATTAAAAAAATTATTTAAACTACCCGCAGTGTGACCAAAATCCCCTCATAAGGGAGACTATGAGGAGATCCAAAGCGTTTTGGATCCTCGTGATAGCACCGAGAAATACGATCTGATTAAGGTACTCGGTCTGAATACAGGAACTCCAATGAGAGAGCTCCCTCTTTAAACTCCTAAATTGCTTAGCAGATGTGCTATGGTTTTGAATATAAAAGCATTGCATTTAGTGACTAAACTTTCAGGTTATCGTATTTAATTCTTGTGCTCTGGTATTGAAGTATACCTCTTGTTACTGTTGCATAATCCTATCAGTGATTGGTAACTATCTTAAATTATGTGCAGGGTAAAAGGATGCAAAGATAATTGTATCAAGCTGCTGCTTTCTACTACTTCCCATTATGAAGACCTAAAGGAGGTGTTTGATAAAAACGAGGCAGACAAGTTACCAATATGTAGTGCTTAAGATTGATCTCCTTCCAGGGACTATGCCTCCTAAAGGTAGGGTTTTTACCCCGTCTTAAAAAAAAAAAAAAAATATGGAAGAATATATTCAGTATTTTCAGTATGGGCAATTCAGTATATTCACATTGGCAAGCCTGTCTTTCTTAGTGTTAAAAATGGAAGGAGACATGAGACCATGTATTGATTACAGGGTCTTCAATAAAATAAACATTATACATGTCTATCTTATACCCCTTCTCACAAAACTATTTGATAGGTTGAAAGATGCCACCTACTTCACAAAAAGCCTATAGATCAGAACACATGTGTTACTGGTTCTAAACATTTTAGGGAGTTCTAGAACACATTCCCAAAATATGCCCTTTACTCAGTATATCCACTCAGTGGGGAGGGCTTGTACTAAATAAGCCAAAACCAAATTGATATCACATTTTTCCAAATGGTCGAAATAAATGAACACGCCACAAGAATGCCACTGCCAACCTTAACCCCTTAAGGACACAACTTTTGAAATAAAAGGGAATTATGTGTCCTTAAGGGGTTAAATTACACAGAGAATCCAACTTTGGGTCATAGTGACTCAAAGACGTAGCAGTAGTAAACCCAACATGTCATGGGTTTGTACCTCTATTGTCACATCTGCCGATGAGCAGGCACATATTGGGGACCATGTCCTCCTCAAAACCATCAGCAAGGGCAACTTTGCAAAGGTTAACCTAACTCATCATGTATTGGCTAAAAAAGTGGTTGCTGTTAAAATTATTGACAAAACTTAACTGAATTCTGAAATTCCACAGAAGCGCTTCAGAGAAGTAAGACTCATGAAGATTTCAAATCGCTCCAGCAAAGTCAAGTTACTTGAAGTTATAAAAACTGAGAAGATGTATCTGGCTAGGGAATAGGCCAGTGGTGGTCAAGTATTTGCCAATTTGGACGCTCATAGACAAATTAAAGGAAAAGAAGCTTGACCTTAATTGCGGCAGATCGTTTCTGCTGTTCAGTATTGCCCCCAGGGGTGTACCTAAGAAATGTGGCACCCGGGGCGGGTCCTGGGTTTGGCACCCCCCTGCCCTTCCCTTCTCCAAAACCCCCCCCCAAAAAACCTACTAAATTTTTAAAATGTGTTATATTTTTTAATTTTTAAAAAAAATTATTGAACAAATTTGTAAACTTTTTAAAACCCTGCCCCCCTCTACAAAATCCCTGCACCCCCTCACACACAGTTACAGGCAGACAGTCACACACAGTTACAAGCAGTCACACGCACACAGTCACATGCAGACCGTCACACATATAGTCACAGGCAGTCATACACACAGTTACAGGTAGAGAGTTACACACAAACACAGTCAGTTACAAGCAGTTGCACACAATCACGCACACTGTTACAGGCAGACAGTCACATATTCAGTCACACAAACGGTCACAGGCAGACAGTCATACACATAGTTACAAACACACACAGTTACAGACAGTTACACACACAGTCAGTTACAGGCAGCCACGCACAAAGTTACATGCAGACAGTTACAGGCAGCATCACACAGTCACAGGCAGACTGTCACACACAGTCACAGACAGTCACACACACACACAGTTACAGGTAGACAGTTACGCACACACAGTTACAGGTAGAGAGTTACGCACATACACACAGTTACAGGCAGGCCGTTACACACACACACAGTTACAGGCAGACAGTTACGCACACACACACAGTTACACACACACACACATATTTACAGGCAGACAGTTATACACACACACACAAGACATACAGTCACACACACACACACACAGTTACAGTGACACACACACACAGTTACAGACAGTCACACACACAGTTTCAGGCAGACAGTTACACACACACACACACACACACACACACACACAAAACGTTCCAGGCAGTTACACACACGCACACACAGTTTCAGGCAGACAGTTACACACACACACACACTCTTATACTTACAGACAGTGTGGGCTGGAGGAGTGGATTCCCTGGCCTGAAGTCCTTCCCTGGCTGGAGGTGGAGGTGCAGGGATTTCTGCTTGCTGCACCTCCATGTGCAGCAGTTACAGCAGCTTGTAAGGGCTGTGTTACACACACACACACACAGTTTCAGGCAGTTACACACACACACACAGTTACAGACAGACAGTCTCTCACACACACACACACACACACACACACAGCCTTCAGACAGTTACACACACACACACACACACACAGTTTCAGGCAGTTACACACACACACACACACACACAGTTTCAGGCAGACAGTTACACACACACACACACTCTTATACTTACAGACAGTGTGGGCTGGAGGAGTGGATTCCCTGGCCTGAAGTCCTTCCCTGGCTGGAGGTGGAGGTGCAGGGATTTCTGCTTGCTGCACCTCCATGTGCAGCAGTTACAGCAGCTTGTAAGGGCTGTGTTAAGCCCCGCTCCCGCTCGCTGTTAGGCTACGCCCCTAAACGGCCGTAGCTCTGCCCCCTTCCTTCGGTGCGGCCAGTTCATCTTGCTGGTCTCTCCATGTGAGCTGTGTGACACCCCAGCTGCCATGGGGCACAGCTCACACAGCCCCCTCCAGCCCCAAGACCAGGGTCAAGGCACCCCCCTACCAGGTGGCACCCGGGGCGGACCGCCCCCTCCCCCCCCTTAGTCCGCCACTGATGGCCCCCAGAAGTTTTTTGAACACAGAGATTTAAAATCTGAGAAATTTGAATTTAAAAAAA